ATGAAAAACCTCCTTTTTCCTGTGGAATCAATAATTACATAAGCATAAGTAGGAGGATGAGGAGCATTCTGAACGTCCCCGTATGTAGACGTAGACGAAAAGCCAACAATGGCGCGATGATAAATTTTTGACAAGGTATCTCTTTCGCTTCAGATCGGTTATGTAGGTTTTTGGCTTCAGCAATGAGCATGTACGATTTTAGGAATAGAGAGACAGTGCCAATTAAATAATACATTCAGTCCGATTATAAATGGTCGGGATGCTCTTTCATTGTGGGTGTCCTTTAATTACAGACGATATTCCCGTGCCGCGAGGGAACCCGGGTCGGGTCCTCATGGTCTTTTAGAAGAGCATGTGGAACTAGTACCCCTGAGAGTAGTCGCGGTCGGAACAGAGAGAAATGTGGTTGGGTCCGTTTCCATAGTTATAGGTAACTTCTTAATGCTCGTTTTCCGATGCAATATGCAGAAGCGAGCGCCCTGGTCAACAGTGAGGACGATGGAGACCCTGGAGGACTTGGACGAGGCGTTGGGGCGGGGGACTGCGAGGGCCATTGCTGTCCCAGGCACTTCCACTTTTGGGCTCCTCTCTGTATGTTCACTATGAGGAATACGTGCTTTTCTACTGCTGGACGTATAGAAAAAATGACTGATTTTTGCACTCAATCCGTCAGGACAACTATGTATATTGATGCAATGCTGATATAATATTGATACAATGCCATCATTGAATTTCCAACATCCATCATGTTGAGCTAACGTCGAAAAACTGATTTCAACATCGAGTTAAAAGTAGTTCAATGTTGAATTCATGCTATGCTCCTCTTTGATGTTCAAATACCCTATCATCGTGATATTCTATCAGCCCATTTATCTTCAAATAGATTCTGTGTAAAAGATTAAAGAGCGCAATCTCAATCTAGTGGAAGCAAGAGGACGATTCAGGGTTTGGAGCTAATGCAAATGTAGTTGGTAATCCCCGCATTAAATCTCTCGCGCGACCTGTAAACCAAGGGTTTGGTTTGCTCTTTCTCGAGACGACTCTCATTTAGTCGCATGACCACGTGAACTTTCTCTTCTCCATTCTCGGGCTTAGAATTACAGTGTTCTCGTTGGATAGGGTTGCCTCTTTCATGGAATGCATCCAGGCATTCCAATACCTTCACACTCTCCTCACTAAATACCTTTTTTCAGAAGTGATAATGCGACTCGACCATCTGCATTTGTTATCCCATGATGGCAACTAGGAAATTGAACTATTTTTCCTCCATCCTCTGAGTCGGAGTTTTCTGGAGACTCTTTGGACTGGGTTCCCTTGTAAGACTGATTTGTTGAAGAATTCAGATTTCTTTCCAGTCTCCCCAAACATAATTTTATATGGCTACGAAATTATCTTACCAATTTTCTCGAGTTTTACGATTGAGTGACGGAAGAGAGAGAAGGAAATCCTGTGAGTTTCAATTTTCTGGGACGCCTAAGTTCGTAAGGGAGAGAAGGATATATCTCAATCAACATTACCTGTCCACTAATCATGCAACACATTTTCAAATGTGTAAAGTCCTCTGTTTATCTTGTGAATTTTGTTGAATTTATATGGAGATGGCTTGATCATAAAAGCTGCATCCTAAGACCGAATATTTTTTCGATGTAAAATAAGGTTTGAGGTAGTATGAGAATTTTCATGTGTCGTATGTCCTTGCTTCGATGTCCATAATACCCGAAAATCTGTCTGTAGAAGGGAAGCGGGGTGTACGCAAGCATCTACAGCAAGATGCAGTGGCAGACAGGTGGATACAGCGTGGACGGCATCGAGAAAGGGATTGAGGCAGTCTGCTCAGCTCCGATTCACTTCCCCACTGTCTACATCGAGGGGCGGAAAGCCCTGGACTACAACCACGATCGGGTCAACCGGGTCCAAGGTGGTGGAGCAAGGAAGTTTCTCTTCCATTGTTTGCATGCACCCTTCGTAATTTTGTGCGTATCCTTGAAGGGAGGGAATTTCTTCACTTGAACGAGGAGGTCTTCTTCACTAAGTATAAAGGGATCCCAATGCAGTGGGGTTCTGCTTATCTGCCGGCCTTCAACCAAATGTATGCTTTCGTCTCTCATCCTTTGTCAGTTATCGTACCAGATCTAACTTAATGACTCGAATTCGACCCTATCTGGGATGTAAACAAGTATTCGTATTATTGGAATCTAATATCAAACGTTGTGCGAATGGTGGTGTGACACTGCAGGATCCTCAGACTATGGCAATCGGGGATCATTTTCAAGTTGACGCAAGACGAATTCACGAGAATAGAAAAAGGATTAGAGGGGAGGAAGGAGGACGGGGAAGGAGGGAAACGGAAACCCTTGACCTTGAAGCAGATGACGGGCTCGTTCGCCGTCTTTGGCGCCGGTCTCTCTGTCGCAGGCATGTTTTTTTCTTTTTGGTCGTTCTGTATGGTTCTTGGTAGGATTGCTGTGACGTTGGGAATATTTGTTTGTCCTCTGGGAACTTCTTACAACAGTAAATATTAAATTATTGAGCTTCACTCAATGTTAGTTGAGAAGAGATATCTTCAAAAACCCGTCCAACGTCCAGTGTTTCCTGCCAAGAAACATTTTCAGATGAATGCCATGAAATATTGAATGCCGTTTGTGGGACGGTTGTGCTCCTTGCCAGGTGTGGCATTTGCGTTGGAATGGCTCCTATCTTGGTTGGAGAGGAAGCACAAACATTCCCTCATCTTCCACAGACTCAAGAAGTTTGTGGGAACCAAGGGGAAAAGGCACTTCTGAAGCACTTCTCAAACTTATGAGAATTTCATAGTACAATTTTTTAGACAAGATATAAAAAACTCTAAAATGAATTTTTTTGTTGAACTGCAATTCAGTACACCTATATTGGATAAAAATTCCCACTTACACGTTAATGAAGTTTTTCTGTCACCGATACCGAGTTAAGTGATTTCTCTTGTGACAGTCATGATATGAGCTTTTTGGGTCCTTACTTGTCAGGAACAGGACGAAATCTTGAACACGTCTAATGTTTTTTTTTGTATCCAGGAGAAGCAAAATAAATGTCTAATGGACATCTTGGAAACGTATTTTCGATTTCCTCAGTCAGTATCTTTGGGATATCACATACGGGATATCTTTAAGATATCCTTAGTCCAATGCTTCTGGATATCCCGTGAGGTAAGTCTTCAAGACATCTTGAGTGGAATTCTTATAGATATCCCGAAATCAATGGGTGCGGCAGAGCCCATTATCTTTCTTCAACCCCTTTCTGGCGACAAAATCCAACCGTCTCGTAGTCCTCTCTGAGAGCATCAAGAGGAGAGAAATTTTGCATACTTCTTCCTCTCTCAACACAAAATTGCTTCAGCTAATTTGAAGCTTCATCTCCTCGTGGTTGTGGAGATATCTGAATCTCGCTTTTCGATGTTGTGAATTTCATTCCGATAAAATTTTTATTTCCACATTTTTTCGACTTGGGAAGTTTTCGAAGGAAAGAACCCCACCAAACGAAGGATATTGACTTGTAGGTAGCGAAAATTGCCTCATTTATTGCTTGCGGTACACCATTTCGCCATGAAAAATTAAATTAGCTGCCGTTAATTTAGGACCGTTACTTGATGGAACCGTCCCGTTCCGCAGTGTTGCCGGATATCATATCGAAGTTATATCAGATTCATTACTTCTTTGGCCTTAGTATTGTTGTCTGGATCTTTTCTTTTATAATGTAGGAGACATTATTTTGCTGAATTCATGGGATGAGCTGAGATTGAAACGGTGGCTTGCGGTGGTCGATCGATTTGGTGGAATACGGAGATTTCATCCGGACATCCTTAAATTAACATGATGGCGGCCAGCTTGTAAGTCATGCACCCTAAATACATTTTCTTTTCGGAACGAGTCGAGACGGTTGGAGGAATTCTGGATAGGCTTAATTATCCCCGGCCGCACTGAAATGGTGCATGAAACTCGAAACAGACCTACATTCGGCCTAACGTTACACGTTCTCTGTTAAATGGGACATGAGAGACTGAATAGGCCTGCGATTCGCCTAACGTTACACGTCCTCAACGAGGTGTCCCGAAGACCAGGGATTAATCCTCATAGGTCTAATTGGTCCGTTTGTCGAGGATTGAATTTCTTTTGAACGAAAAAAGGTAGACCTAGGCCTGACCCGAAGGCAGTCCGTCGGTTAGGCCTTGGCATAACGTTAGTGAGTTCCGTAGAGAAGGGGGGAAGGTGAGGTGGAGTTGAGTTTGAGATTGGGGTTGAGGTTGAAGAAAGGTAAAACCTTTGAAAATTGGTTTTCACATTAATACATGGATATTTTTCAGACATTCTTAGTCGAATGCTTCTTGATATCCTGTAGGGCAGGGGCTCTAAAACTGGGGGGCGTGACCCCTAGGGGGGGCGCAACAGGTCAAGGGAGTTTTTATTATTATTCATCTACTAAAATGTGCCATTTCAAACACTATTGAATATTTTATCTATCTCATTTTTTTACTGGAAGAAGGTCACATTCCTTCAGGTCTTTTTGGCTCTTTCTCCTGGAGTACAAGAATAAATGAAAGCAATTCAAGGGGGCAGACTTTTAAATCCGATTCTTTTATCCAAATATACAAAAACTCATCTAACCAGAAAATTTCCATGGATAATTTGAAACAGTTTTAAAGTATTTCTCTCTCTCATTGTCAACCAAAGTATTTACAGTGAATTCGCTGGGATAGTGGTGGGAAAGAAGACACGATTGTTCCCTCATTTTCTGTTGATTCAAGTTCGCATTTGCCAAGAGGTTAATCCGAAGACCTTTCCAAACTCAGAACGCAAGATCACTTGCAAGTAAGGAAACGAAGACAAAAAAATACGAATGAAGACCTATGTTTTTGAACCTTTGACGATGACTTTCATTTGCACAAGAGACTCGCATGGGTCGGCAGTCAGCGCAATATTAGATTATTTTTTTAACACAAAAAAATATCGAATAAAAACTTCACCAAGAACGTTTGAATTTTTTTTTATTGAATTCCCTTACAAATCTCCCGACTACCAGATGACGCAGCTGGCATCCCCGTTGAACATGAAGTCGTCGGCAGTGCAACCGAAGGCCTCGGCGAAGGCAGCGTTGTTGGTCAGGGCACCGTAGACCCTGAACTTGGGCGGGCTGTGAGGATCGTTCAGGATCTGGTTCAACAGATACTCCACGGTGCTGTGACCGCACCAGTTCTAAAAATAAGGTAACAATTCCTTTCATATACACTATATTAATAAACTATGAACTCGGACGGAGGAGCCACATGATTGGAAAATCTGGGACCATACATAGGAGAAAGTGAGGAAGACGAGCTGTTGAGGCGTGAGGAACTCCAGACCAGGGAGGAAGGGTTCCGTTCCGTTTCGGTCGATGTAGTTGAGGTAGGCGAACCAGGCCTCCCGCATCCCTCCGTTGTCGGCTATGTTCTCTCCCAGAGTCAAAAGTCCGTTTACGTGAGGGTCTGCAAAGAGTAGAAGCGGAAATATAAAGGATGAATATTCAAAATTCCATTGCAGAAAGTAAGCGGTTGGCTTCGAGGATCACAAAGGATACATGTGCTTGTTGGAATAGGAAAGGAAACGGAAATGGGAGAGCTCATTGAACTTTACTTATACGCGGACTTGCACCATGAATATGAGTATGATATAACTTATCATGTAAAATTTTTGCTAATTTCATACCTTCCAAGAATTCTGAGAGTTCGGGGAGTTGGTAGCCATCATATTGATCGATGAAGCACTGTGCCCTTTCCACAAAAGCATCGGCCGTCGCATCCGTCCACCAGTTGACCAGATTCCCTTGAGCATCGTACTGGCGGCCAGAATTATCGAACCTGGAAGAATGCATTGGATGAATTGCATATACGTATGTGTACATAAATGCATGCAAGTCTCGTTTCAGGATGTTCTTCGTCCAGAACATGTTCTCATTGATCAATGGTAAATATTCGTGCTTGACAGCATATGGCAGCAAAGATTTATTGCGTATGCAACCTTCCTTTAATGAATTCGGTCCACATTGGGGGGCGATGAATTCCCAGGATCGTTTGACATTTTAATTTTAATTGTTCCCATCATATCGATGGAAAAGACAGAAACTCCTGTTCTGATACGAAACGAGGAATGCATCGCTTCAGGATTCATGATCCATTCTCCTCCCATAGAAGGAATAGTTGAGTGAACGCCTAGCCCCTTTTTTCCCTATGCGCTGCTCCCTGTTGCTCATGCATGCTAGAATATGCTTTTCAACTTGTCCTGTGTCATTCATAACTGTTCGAATCATCTGATTTTAATGAATATTGTACGATATTTAAGTGTACCCATATGTTGTTCTTGATCTTCTCTGCATGAAGTAACATTTACCAAAACCGGACTCAAAATCACGTCAAAAACAGGCAGCGAGTAAAAAATAATGCTGACAGTTAAGAGTTTCGCGAGGCCAGTGGTCCTCTTTGAGCTACAGCCGATACGCTGACGATGGAGGAAGAAAACCATCGGCATTTCGACCTTTGTGCAAGCTCGAAAGAACCATCAATGGAACCTTCTCAGCCGCGTCCGGATGGCCTGCTGGAGCATTTCAATCCGTGCTTGCGGTAGAAAACGGACGAGAGTTCAGTCCGATCCCGACTGTGGGATCGCCTTGGGCCTCTTTTTTTTTTATCTGACCTCATGGAGTCGTGTTGCATGGCACGAAATTAAAATCGAATTCGTAATACAATTGAATTCCTTCAAGTACCAGAACACCAAAAGTCATTGTTAGAACAACTAGGATTTTCGGTGATGGGGACATTCGCATGAATCTGAATCATGAGACTCAATAGTGGATAATTTCTTCCACGACACAATGTCTCCTCACGCTTGAGGTCCCCATGGAGTTTCCACAACTCCAGATAAGGGAACATTCCTACGCGATCCTTGTTATTCACAATCTGCTGCTACAAACTCTTTCGGTTTTGAATGATTCTCTCTTTGCATTCAGTATGTAAGATGCAGTCTCCTTGCGTTTCTCACTAGTCATCAGTGCATACGCTCTCGCGAATGCCTACATAACTATATGTATTACATTGAAACATTCAGGGTGTCTCTAAAGTCACTGGGTGGTTTCGACTGTATACAACTCCCAAGTTTCAGGGAAAACCTCGAGCAGCGCCTCCAGCTGCGCATCGGAGAAGATGATGAACAAGAGAAGCTCTTATAACGGCCTTAAGTGAGTTAGGTGAAAATATTGATCTATTCATATAATATTTGCAAAAGGAAGTATCGTCTTCCTAGTATTTTTGTCATACGAGAACATTTTACGCGCTCAGCTACTCATTGAATTTTCCTATGAATTTTCTTTTGTATCTCAAAACTGAAATTGTTTTCCCTTCATCCTCTCACTCACCCGTGCGTGATCTCGTGCCCGATGACCATCCCGATCCCGCCGTAGTTCATGGCCGCGAGCCTCCCCTTCTGGTAGAACGGACTCTGCAGGATCCCCGCCGGGAAGGTGATGGAGTTCATGCTGGGGTAGTAGAAGGCGTTCACGATGGTCGGGTGGATGATCCAGGCGTCGCGGTCCACCGCGCCGTTCACGCCGGCCGCCTGTTGCACCCACGACCAGCCGAGCAGGCTGAAGATGTTGGAGAGATGAGTTTGGCTGTTCACGATGATCTGCAAGAGAAAAACGGCGGATTTGAAGCAATGAAATATCGAAATATTTCAGTTCGAAAACTCAGAAAAAATTTTCGTATTTTTATATATTTCAGACAATTTACGAATTTCAGAGAAATTGGTGACTGTCCGGTCATTCCAGGCCATACTGTCAATATAAGCACTATTTTCTTTTAAAACTAATGGAATTTGTAGCTTTCGGATTCGCGAGATCTCTGGTCGCTTGCCATTTTATGCCTAAAGTTCAAATTTTATGTGAACCAATGATCAAAAAAAAATGTCAACAAAATTTGTCTTCCTCTGGCCGGTTCTCAGGCTTAATCAGCATGAAAATTCACCAGTCGTGAACTATGACGAAACGGCACAGACCCCAGCGTAATATTCGGTGAGGGCCTGTGAATCGATGATGAAATCAGGATATCCGATGAAGGCCCGAATGGCAGCGTTCTTCTCTCTGGCCTTCTCCACCGTCGCCGCATCCATCCAGTCGATCGTGTCGAGGATCCCTTCGAACGCCACCTTCAGGTCTGCCACCAGCAGCTCCACCTGCAAACGTGCAATCCCGTTACCGCAACCGAGATATGGAGGTCAGCTCCCTCCCCTTGCCCCTCCCATTGTCCCCTCCCCAGCCCCCTGCCCCCTGCCCTCATCCGTCTCACCTCTTGCTTGGCAGTGGCTGGGAAGAAGTTGGATACGTAGACACTCCCGACAGCCATTCCCATCAGGCTGTTCACCATGCTCGCACACACGTTCTCCCTATCAGACACGAACATCTCTTAGCATCCTCCATTTGGACCCAGCATCATGTGAGCTGAAGGCTAGTGAAGGCCTTCGCCAACTCAAGGAATTTCAGACTGTTTTCAACCCGGTACCTTTCTGGAGGTTCGTCGACTCCCGAGACGATCTGCGAGAATTGGAAGAAGAGATCCCGCATCGCTTCGTTCGTCTCGTCGCCCACAGAGTACACCAGCCGCCAGTGCAGGTAGTTTCCTGAATGAGGAATCGAATAACGATTTTAAAACATTTTAAGTGAAGGAAGAATCAAGAATTATATTCCTCCCCAGTGGAAGAGGGTAACAACTGATCCCGTCCCACTGCGTTGCTTAAAGTCGACTCAACTGAAGTCTTCCTTCTACCCTGAAACTCCCATAATGTGGATGGTAATACATACTTAAAGAACATTGCAATGAAGGTCTTCAAATATACAGTATGTTCAATTTGCTTTTCCCCTCCCCCTCTACCCCCCCCCCCCCCACCTTCTCCCCTTCCTCCCACCCATTGCATATTGTCCCAAGAGCCGCTTTCCTCTCACCGATCGTCCTCACTGGTGTCCGGTTGATAAGGTCGGCCAGGTCGGCCATGAAGTCCGTGGCATAGCAGACGACCTGGTCGTTGTTGCCCCATGTCACGCCCACGCTCAAGAACACCGCGTTCAGAAAATCCGTCCAAGAGATCTGAAACGGCAAGTTGTTAAGTACTTAAGATCTTTTTTATACCCTTTGACCCTTTTTCCGCGCAAATTTTCCCGGCCAAGCACAAAAATATATTCATCCTCTTGCAACAAAAGAAGGCCCCACAGGTGCATTGTAGCCCTTCCCCGACCAGCACGAGGTGGACCGCTCCCCATTATTTTCTGTTCTACTATGAACTTACCGACTGAATCATAAAAAGCAAAATTCATCAGTAAATGTGTTTTTGTTGGAAAAAGCCAGACAGTCGATTGAAAATCCCTTTTCCCACAAGTCCCCAACAATCGCACTTCAGTACTGAGACCACGGAATACAATTTTCCGGACTTTCGCCCTAAACGTAATTGCATATAAAGTCGGTTCTCTCTGAAGGAAGCGGACGGACTCACCACCCCCGGGGCCCCCCCGTCCGTGACTGCCTGGAGGCTGGACAGCGTCAGCTTGTTGTAGAGCTCCGTGTAGTTCAGCCTGTCCTCGTCCGGCACGACGATCTGCGAGAAACAAACTCTCCTCTGTAACTTCCGGCTTTAACCCTTTCAGGCCTGGCGTCCATTCCAATGGACATTGCAATTTACATTGTGTCTATGGCGATTTCCTAGGATTCTCGCGACTTTGGCCTCCATATTACGCTACAATGGGCGCAATTATACATGGCTCAGTTCTATGAGTGACCTTCTTTCACCAATTAGTTTTGTAATCCTCAGTTATTTAATAAAGTTTTTAATGTATAATATATGGTACAATATGGTACATTTATACAAAATATGAAAACTGCGCATAAAGCATGAAAAATTTCAATTACAATCACGAAAAGCTCAAAAATGTAAAAAAAAAAGGATGTTCTTCCGATATTGACATTAATTCAGGTCTGAAAGGGTTAAAACAGACTTGAGCCTGAGAAGCTCGGGAACGAACGCGCGAACGTGATGACGTCATCAATTGCGTCATCGATATGTTCGCGGTGGAGGAAGCTTTTTTTCATGGATAGTCCCTGCGAGTGCTAATAATTGGCGAAATGGAAACGAAACGCAAAAACTGCATGAAACGCTTTTCCCTGGTCAAATTGTTCATCATTCATGAACTAATATATTAATTATTATTTCTAAATTATAACTTTCGTGCTATTTGCAGTATCTCAGCCGGTTTCAGGCGAAATGCATCAATTATATATCAATTACTTATACATAAAACCATAGCTAGCCACATTACTAGAAAATGTATGTTTAAAAAACCACAAATCAGTAGGAAAACGCTTCGAAAATCCTCGAACTCCTGGAATTAGTTGTTCCAAGCTGGAAATTTATATTTAAAAAAAGAGATTTTCTCGATTACCTCGGCGAGGGCGACCTCGAAGGCGATGACCTCATCCGCCTCCTGTTCGATGGGTCGCAGGCACTGCCGGCTCGGCACTACCAGGGACTGGTCGAAGCGGCAGGGGAAGTTGTCCAGCCACATCCGCAGGTCCTACTGGACGTCGCTGCCGAGGTCCATGTCCAGGGCGGGACCCTCTGGCAGGTTCGACTGGTCCAGCTGAAATTCAAAAGTACATATGCTGATACATATACTGATACATATGCTGATACATATGTTGACACATATATCGATATAAATGTAGATACATACGTAGAGGACGTTAGTGTTGGTGTCCATGTCATCCGGTCCCACGAACGGGCTATACTCGCACAACTCGCGTCGGACGGACTAGGGCCGGCGGCGGTAGACGACGGTCAGCTTCAGGAGGAGCGGGGTAACCAGGTCCCAGTAGCCGGTCGGCGGCTTGTAGGGGTAGTGCCAGGCGAGGGGCTCCAGGCCCTGGGACTCCAGGGTGGCTGGGGAGAGCGGTTTGCGTCGGGTGAGGCCATTATTTTAAATGTTAGTTAAATTACGGAAGCGATGAGGAATTCCGGATTTGGAGATGGATATTTTTTTGTTCAGTTAAATGAGCTAAATCTGACAGCGCCGTCGATTCTGGAAACTCAAATATATGGGTTCCATCTTAAAAAAAGCCTAATTTCTTCCCTTTCCTCTATGATATTTCTGGAAGTAACCTTCCGATCTGCAATTATGTCAATATCGATATCGTGATACCGATCGTTCCTTGTCCGTGGGACCTACCGGTGTCGGCGCAAGAGGAGTACATGGTCTTCGCGTCCAGCACAGGAACGTTATCGTCCGGCGAGGGTTCCGCTTCCAGGATGTCTGCCGAAGGACGTAAAGGACCAAGCGTGAAGGACAAGATGTAAAGGACGAGGTGTAAAGGTCGAAACGGTTTCGGCTGACCTCGGACTCTCTGATTGAGCTCGTCCCGGAGCTTGTTGAACATGGTCATCACGTTCGACGTCGGCGGGATGGGGTTGTTCAGGATCCAGTTCCCGCAGGTGTACGCGTAGAAGTCGTCGCAGGGGTCGACGGTGAGGTCCATCGAGTCCAGCAGTTCCTGGGCTATAATTATATGTTATTTATTATTTGTTAATTAGTTTAATTAGTTTGGTGGGTTGGGGATGACGGACCGGCTTGTTCGCATTCTGGCGTGGTGCAGGGGCCTTGACGGTTCTTCTCGTGCTTTTTTGGGGGAGAGACGGCGGGTTTCTCTAGCTTTGGGTTCTCGGGACGCGGGACGGCTTTCGCGTTCTTCACGGTGAAGACGTCGGAGTCGTGCGGGAACGGGGAGATGTGCGTCTTCGCGGGCCTCCCCTTCAGCGGCGTGGCGGGGACCTGGGACTTCGCGGGGCCGCGGTTGTCGTTGGGTCCGGTCGAAGGGCCTGGTGCAGAGGGTGCAGAGGGTGCAGCGGTCGTCAGTCGGGGATCGCTGGGCTCAATAGGGCTTAAGGGACTTACCTTTCTTGGGGGCCTTCTTCGGCGCCGCGTCCGCGAGGGCCAGCAAGAACAGCAGGGTCAGGACTCTGTCAATTTTTACGGGAGAGAGTGAGGAATAATATAAGATTCCGCGAGCTCGAATTTATAAACATGATGTGAAAATAACTCATTGAAAATTAAGTTTGAAAAGTTATTCGTACGATAATTTTTCTAGGGAAGGAAAGAGGCGTGACTGACTTGAGCTTCATGTCGGTTCTCTGTCGTCGGGGAGATTCAGAGACCAACTGCCTCGAATCCCGAAGTGGCATGGCAACACAATCGTCCTTATCGAAAAAAAATCCTTGAACGTAGGGGGGGCCGGGGGGGCGGGAGGGGGGGAGGGGGGCGGGAGGGGGAGATATCAGGGTAAATATAGATGGTTGAGTGGCGTTGGAGTGGCACCAGAGGATGCTCGACACGGTTTTTCCCGGTTCGAGTGGTCTGCGTCTCTCGCTGTTGTTTGTCGTGGTTCGGGGCCCCAAGGACGATGCTCTGTTGTTTCTAAGCGGGGATTTAAACTTTCTTTTGTGTTTTGTGGGGGGTCGTGGGGGGCCGGTGGGGGTGCGATTGGGGAATTGTTATGGAGGTTTACTCGCTTGGAATTTTGTTTTTTTTTTTTTTTTTTTTTTGTTTTTTTG